TTGACTTGGTGTTGTCAGCACCACGCTCAGCCAGTGAGCGAACCGGCCATCCCTATGTGGGATCCGAACCCGGGGCCTTGGTGTTATCAGCACCGCACTCTCCCGAGTGAGCCACGAGCCGGCCCCAGAGCTCTGCATTTTGACAGACTTCTCTCTTCCTGGACTGAACATCTGGATGTGGCTGCTCCTCTTCAGCTTCCACCTCCCTGGAGCTGCAGCCCTCAGGCCCTCCTCGACCCTCTCCTGTGTTTCACATGGGGACAAGCGTCCAGGGCAGCAGAGGTGGCAGCCCCTGACTGTGCTGGGCATTTTTTACTTCAGTGCAGGTGGCGTCATGGAGCAGCCACACCTGGAGGCAGCAGCAGCTGGGCTGGAACTCTGCTGTGTCACTATGCAGCCTTGTCACTGTGGAACAGTCTCTTCCTCAGTGTGATCTTAGGGCTCCTTGTTTATAATGCTGGGAACACCTAGTGATGGCCACCTCCTCCTAGGCTGGTCTGAGTGTGATCACACAGTGCAGAGCAGGCTGGGAGCTACCAAGGACTGTGTAGAGGAAGCCGTGCTTTGACTGAAGAAGTTGGCCTGGCAAGTGGTGCAAAGGGTCCTGGCCTTGGATACAGGACACCAGGGTGGTGAAACTGCTGATGGCACAAGCACGTGCCCTTGGCATGCCTGAGTTCACCTGACACTGGGGCAGCAGGTCCTCTGCAGGCCTATAGCACCTTCTCCCCAGACAAGTACACACACACACTGTGCACACCCACACCTATGTGCACACACACACGACTGCACACACACACACACACAAAGACACAAACCTCGACACACACCTCCACACACACCTGCACACACACACCTGCACATACACCTCCCCACACACATCTGCACACACACACCTGCACATACACACACACACACACACGTGCCTGCACACAGGTCAAGAACAGGAAAGAGGAACACCACAGTGGACACCCACTGGGCTTCTGGGTGGAAGGACTGTGTTTTTAATGTTATTCTTCATTCATATTGAACTACTGATGTACTTATAGTCATCATTGTCTTTGTAATAAGTGCCTACAAAAATTGAAACCGGGTAATGTACTTTACTTAGGTGAGTGTTTAGTGGACAATATTTAATGTGATGTTAATGTTTATATAAATATAAAATAATGTGCATATTAAAAATATTCACATATCACATAAAGGAGAACAAAAGGTTTTGAAAGTCCCACCCAGCAGAGCTGGTCCTCATCCATGGCTTGGTCACGTCTCCCAGGCTGTCTCTCCCATTTGACTTCTGTCCTGTGTTTGTCTGTCTCACTCTCTCACCTAAACAGTCATTTACGTACAGGTGTGTATGCATGTTGAGAACACATAGATGTTTTTCAACCTGAGATCCTCAAATCAGACTGGCCGTCATGACATGTTTACATGACAATTTCTGTGTGCAGCTCAGCAGCCTCTCAATGTTCCCTGGTCCATGTGGACCAGGTTTGAACACCCAGCCCCTCTACAGGATGTTAGAGACGTGGCCAGCCCCTTGCTACCTCCACC